TTTGCAAATTTTGTATTAATTTATATTACGCGCGGGAAAATGCACCTATTTTTGGGAAAAAATGGTGCATTTTCCCGTGCTTATAATACAAGGCTATACTTTCCTCATTTTACAACATTTCGCAACCAAACTTTGTAATTTTACTAATTTTAACATGCTCTTTCTAGCTGTGGTGATGGATTTTGTTCTTCTTGCCTAGATCAAAATTTAGAGTCTGTAACTGGAATCATCATGTATTAGTAACTATATAGTACCTTCGTCGCACAATATGCGACTGCGCCTTCTTGACCAATCATTGACACCAAGCTTGATATGTTAATTATGTTTCCTTTCGTTTGACGCAGATATGGCATGGAAAACTAAAGAGAAACCGTAAATCAAAGAGAAACCGTAAATCAAAGAGCTAATAAATTTTGAATGGGATCACGGTACAGTAAGTTACTAAGTATAATAGACAATTCCCCATTATAGACTAATTTTAAAACTAGGCAAGGAGATGCAAATAAATCACCACAGCTAGAAAGAGCATACTAAAATGAGTAAAATTGCAAAATTTGGTTGCGAAATGTTGTAAAATGCGCAAAATATAGCCTTGCAAATATAGCTTGTATTGCGTGCGGAAATTGCTACCACATTTGGACCGAAATTGCGAACTTTGCAGGGCTATATTTTCCGCATTTTACAACAATTCGCAACCAAACTTTGCAATTTTACTCATTTTAGTATGCTCTTTCCGGGAATATACTTTTTTTGCCAAGATAAAAAATTAGTCTATAATGCGAATTGTCTAGCTATTAAACGGGGCTTTGCCTTTGACTTTGTTTAACAAACCTTGCATAGTAAAAAATAGCTAACTAAATTAAACTCTAACAATGATTTAAAAGCTTCGGTGGTCGTGTCATCAATGGTCGTCGATGGTGGGTCTAAAAACAATGAAACACAAACATTGTCGAGAATGAAGCGAGGATTCTAAATTGTACAGGAAAAATTATACCAATGTCCAAAAAATGAAATACTAACGCCAGCCAGCATTATTGACTATACAATCTATCTGTCCATACTTTGCTACAGTTTTGTCAACTAAATTCTACAGAAATAAAAGCATTAACCGCATTAGTGTGAACAATTTCTGTTTGAAAACAAAAGCGTCTGGTGGATTCAAGTAGTATATTGCTAAGGCAGGGGTTATCCCCCCCCCCTCTATAACTGACAACCGATCTGATAATTTCAACTATGAAAGCATCTGTACGTAGACTATGATTCCTCTTGCACAAAACAGGCTGTAGATCGATGCAACCTTTTGAAGTAAGAAACTACAGCACATATACAATGCTTTCAAGTTAATGCATTTAAATTGCACAGGCAGAAAATTCTGCCGGCCGTCAGGTTTTGAACCCGCAACCTTCGAAATTGACAGTCTTCCAACTGAGCTACATGCTGAAGAGGCTGACAGCTTGACAGTGACATATCCACCTTTAAATCGTCCTCTTTTCGTATATCACAAGCAATGAAAAATGATTCTCCTGGTCCCTTCTCATTCAACTCCTGTTCCAATTTCCTGCCAATTGCCTCTAAAATGTCATGAGAATTAGAGAAAAGTTACCTTGGTTCTTGTCTCTGCTTTGGCAGGGTAAAAATATAGGTTAAAAAAAAAACATTATAGCGTAGCATTATGCAGCCTGCCTATGATCGATCCTCTGTCAAACCCCCTCTTAATTTAAATAAACACACACCCTCTAGCTCCAAGTTTAAATTATCCCAGCTAGTTGGGAAATCTTACCAGCAAGATGGTGTGTTTATCAGGCTTCATACATGCGAAGAAGAGTCAAATTCAAGAACTTTTCAAGGCTATGTATCGGCAAATTCAAGGACTAAGTACTCATGAAAAGGGGTTAGAAATCAGTAAAATCTGACGTTGAATTTTTCAAAACGCAACTTTAGTGAGTTTCAAACAGCTTTGTCAGATATGAATATGCAAAATCAATTCAACAAAATGTCCGTTTTGAATGTCAAACAATTTCAGAAAATATCCAAAAACTAAAGCAAGAAAAATTTAAGGACTTCCAAGTATTTCGTTACAAATTCAAGGATATTCAAGGCCTTGAATTTTTGTTTTCAAATTCAAGGACATTCAAGGACTTTCAAGTTTTGTACGAACCCTGGTTTATATAGACAAAATACCATTCTGAAATAAAGCCTGCATAGCAATTATGTTATGTTTTTGCAGAAGAGGGATATAGGCAGGGATGGATCCAGCATGATCTGGTAGGGGGGGGGGGTGCTCTGGTGCCGACTGCCAAGTTGTGTCGGTTATGTGTGCTGCCCACCCATCAACTACTGTATTTGAATTGTAATTGTTGTTCACAGTTCACTTATCATCATGTTATTACTCAAATTACTGTATCTCTTTTTGTCTTTTTTGCTTTATCATGAAAAATAGCACCCCTCTGCACCCCCTCTGGCCAGGGCTAGGGGGGTGCACCCCCCCCCCCCCCCCCCC